TTTTTTTTTTTTATTTTCTTGATTTTACCAACTGTCTCTTGAAAGCTATTCACAAACTTTTGATAACTATTATTAAGCTAAAAAACTAAAAAAATTAAAAAGAAGCAGTAATTATGCAATTGAATATTTGGAATATCTCAGCAACGGTAATTATATTATTTCAATGGTATACATCTTTAACAGCTATAGAAATTGTAAGTTGTTTTTTTGTTACATTATAAAAAAAAAAACTTTTTATTCAAAAATTTTTTTGTTTAATACAAATATTAAGAAAAAAAAGATTTTTTCTTATCTTTTTTTTTCTCTCTGACGTTAATCTGTATATACTTTTGCGATGTTTATAAAGCGCTTAAGCAGTACTACAGAAAGTAGTCCTATTTATAATCATCTAATAAGTGCTATTTGAAAGATAAAAGTTACAAAAATTTAGCGGCTATTTAAAGGGTGTGCTAAAAAAACAGCAATTAATAAAATCTGACATTATTTTTGGCCATTAGTTTCAGCGTTTACAAATTTTATTCTCAAAAAGTTTGGTTAAATAAAACAGCTGTGACAAAGGGAACAATTTCATCAAATGATTGCAGATGGAAGTAACCAGTTTACAAAGGAAACGTTTCAAACGGTACAGTTGCCGAATGCTGAAGTGTCAGAAGTGTTGTGTAACTGGAGATGCTGAGTCGGAGAATTATGTAACTGGAGGTGGATCATCAAAAAATTTCCCAGTCAACAATCTTGGTTTGTAAAATTTCTTTTTCTTTTTTTGTTTTCAATATAAAAAAATTTTGTTTTATTCTTTATTTCTGATTCTGTTGATTTGAAACTTTTGTTTACCAGCCTATTTGAGAGCAACAGTCGAAAATGCAACCAATAAAATTTCCACCCTTTACTTAGGTTTTAAAGACAAAACCTTGATAAATTTATTTGTAGTGTATGCATTATCCGGATATAATCATCGACCATTTCCCTATCCATTGATTACATCAGCAAATTTACCTTCAGCTGCATATTATCGACCGAAAGCATACGTTTATCCGTTGACAGTAACTAACCAGGAAAGTACAAAGAATCCAGTAAATTCTGTATCTTTTGCTTATGAACTTTCTCAGCAACCAGCAAACAGTCTGGTGTCACCGTGCTGTTCTCTAGTCAGCAGGTATCGAAAATGTTGCGCCTGTTGTACAACTCCATCTTGCAGTGAGACTTGCTCCTCACAGGCTACTGCTTGTTCCCTTGCCGAACTATGCATCACGCTAGAAAATGGTACTTAATTAGTCTTTATTTTTTCACCTACAAACGTACATTATTCAATTTGTCATATCTACTGCTTATATTTTATCAACGTTTGGTGAACCAATGATAGAACATCGCACTTACAGCACAAATTAACATAAAATGTTACCAATTTTGATAAATTCTAATATCTGATTTTATCCAGTTTTAGAAAAGAAAACTATGTAACTGAAATTTAAACCTACAAATATATATATATATATATATATATATATATATA